CCTAGAACTAAGGAGAAACTTCCTGACAGAACAATTAATCAGTGGAACAACCTGCCTCCAGAAGTTGTGAATGCTCCAATACTGGAGGTTTTTAAAAAGAGACTGAACAGTCATTTGTCTGAACTGGTATAGGGTTTCCTGTCTGAGCAGGGAGTTGGACTAGAACACCTCCGAGGTCCCTTCCAACTGTATTATTATTGTTGTTGTTTTTGTTGTTATTATTATTAATCATCGCACACTTAGCCACATGTTCAGACTGGATTTGACATTTTTGTCTACCTATTGAGTCCTTACCAAGGACCTGGGATAGGCAGATGTGGATGTTTGATGGTATTACAGATATCGTAGCAGGATGGAAGCAGTTCCTAGTAAGGCCGCCTTTTGCAATTGACTAATGGCGAATTTGTCAATGTCAATGGTGTTCAAGTAGTGCTCCAGTTGTTTTGGGATTGCACTTAAGGCACTTATTATTATTATTATTATTATTATTATTATTATTATTATTATTATATCTCTGTAACTGGAGATTAATTTTATTTTAGAGCAACAACAGAGATGGCTAGGCAATTATTTGCTTCTCTCTATGGACAGTAGAGATTGTAGCAGAGTAATTATCTAATCCAGCCCTGTATTTATGTGCTCAGATTATTCATATCTCTTGTAGACCACTCCTCTGCTTAATGATTGGCATTGATTTGTCTAATTTTGGCTTTTGCCTGGCCTCTTTCTTGGAGGAAAATACATTGGAGTATTGTATCTGCAATTTTTCCTCTCTGGAAAAAATAAGATAGCAAGAACACAAAGCAGATAACAGAAGAGCTGTGGAAGTTATATAGCATGCGATTTCAAACTAAAAGGTTATATTTTAAATTTTTATTCATATTAGTTCCCAAACTTTGGACAATGACCATGTTTGGTTAAGGCACCAGGTTAAAAACCAGGAGACTGTGAGTTCTAGTCCTGCTTCAGGCATGAAATCTGCTGGTGGACTTTTGGACAGTCACTCTGTCTCTCTCAACTCAACTCAGTTCACAGGGTGGTTGTTGTGGGGAAAATAGGAGGAGGAAGGAATATTAGATATGTCCACCACCTTAGGTTATTTTAAAACATAATAAAGGTGGGATAAGAAAATAAATAAAATGGTGCTATTTGCATGAATATAAAAAAGTCTTCATAATGCAAATAACTTCAGAGGAGGTATGTTTTTTTCCCCTTAATATTGCAACTAGAAAATGAAATGTGAAACTGACCTCTCAGCCAGCTGGAATTCTAGCAATGGTTACCCCCTTTCAACAAGACTCTTTCACACACACCCTCTCTTTCTCCCCCACACACAGAGGGATTGACATTTTAAAAACTGATCGTGTGAATCCAAGGCACAAGTGACATCCTCTCTAATTGGACTGTAAGTCGTCCATTTTCAAGAATTACTAACTGCTGTCAGAGGAAGGCATAAAGAGGCAAACCTGATAAACTTTTCATGTTCTTTACTGTCAATATATATATATTTGTGCCTGGTTTTCAAAACCGCTTTCCTTTTTCATCACCATAAATTTGGCATTCCACACGAAGCATGGAATCAGAATTAAAATGCTGCTTGGCTGGTCATGGTGAGTCATTCGTAATGGTATTGAGGGAATCATCCTGGTCACTATCTGTTAGTCTTGCTCCTATTATTCAATAGGCGTTCACAATTAGAAATAGTTACTAGAACACTTGGAGCGTTTGTGAGGATGCTTACTTTTTTTTTCTCCTTGATGTAGTAGTACCTAGTTTATGGGCATTATTATAATGTTGGCAGATTCCTTTCCTAATGACTCCTAGCATGGATTTTTGTGCTTTTCCAGAGTTGTTACAGATGAGCTGGCATCTTTGTCCGGCTATCTAATATAATTCCATGGTCTTGTTCCTGGTTAGTTATAGATGGTTCCAATTCCATAAATGTGAATTTAAAGTTAGCCTTCTTCCTCCTCCACTTGCGTTACTTAAATTGCATTACATTTCTAAAATTAATTGTGCTTGCCATTTGGTTAACTATTCATCTATGTAAATCAGATTCCTTTTGGATTTTGCACCAGGCTGAATAGTTCACTATTATCTAGAGACTTGGCTAGCTCACTCCTGCTGGATTCAAGGGGAGATCTGAAGAACACACAGTGTCAGTACTCAGTAGGATTTTAATTTCTTGAAAGGGCTAGTTCATCTCTTATCCCTAAGGCAAGTTATTTTATGAACAGGTTTAAAAGCACTGGTCTCGGTACAGATCCTTGCAAAATTACACTCCCTAATTTTCTCTGCTGAGAAATTTGCCGATTTATTCTTAGTCTTTTCTTTCTGCCTTATAATAACTACAGTAGCTTGCAATCCATAAAAGGCCAATTCCTCTGCTCCTGGCTCCTGAGTTTCTTCGACAGCTTTAATGAGGATCTTTGACAAAGGCTTTGTGAAAATCCATGTATTGAGTGTCACCTCCATTCATCTGCCTGTTAACACTCTCAGTAAACTCTGCAAGATAGGTGAGGCAGGTTTTACTTTGGTGAATTCCATGCTGATTTTTTCCTTCAGCAAGGTTTGTTCCTCCATGTTATTTTTTCTTTTAATTACTGTTTTCAACTATTTTCCTGGGACAGATGTTAACCTTAGTGGCTTATAATTTCCTGTATTTCTCCTGAGCCCCTTTTTACCATTTTCCATTTTATTCATTGTCTCCATGGCTGCCAGTCTAAAGTTGCATTGCGTTATTCACATGTGTATGCTCTTAGATTAAACACAGAGCTGTTCTTTTAACATTAATATGCAGGAGCGTTTTTCCAGTCAACTGTCACATAATAAAATTGGTTCATCCAGGTTGTAGCTTAAATACATTTTTCTCCTCTTAACAGAAGCAACAGAAATTGTGTTGAAGGCTCAGATTTTAGCTGGAGGAAGAGGCAAAGGTGTGTTCAGCAGCGGTTTGAAAGGAGGTGTACATTTAACAAAAGAGTGAGTCTAGTAAATGCAACATTTTTTAAAAAAATATTGCTTCTTTGAAAGTTGTTTTAATATTCATATAGTAATTTATTAATTGATTCCTCTTTTTTTGTAGCCCTAAAGAGGTAGGACAGCTTGCTAAACAGATGATTGGATATAATCTTACAACGAAACAAACACCAAAAGGGGGTGTTAAAGTTAAGAAGGTAAGAAAACCTCCCACCTGAATATCAGAATAAACATTATCAGGTGCAGTAGGAAGCTACTGAGTCAATTACAGTATGTTATTGTTCACTAGATCTATATCACATAAATGTTCATATGGGAATGAACAGTACACATTGCTTATTTACATTCTTCACTTTTTATATTTTACTTCTTGCTTATAAATGTCAACTCAAAAAGCATGTTCTATTTAAGTTTTCTTTTGTGGTCTAGCAGAATAGAAAGAATTTATCCTCCATAAGTCATCAGTGGTGGTATTTGCTAAGATCCAAAGTACTTAAATGACATAATGTACATCTTATATGTATAAGGTGACCAGTTTGATCTACACAGCAGTCACTGTGTAAAAAATCTCACTCAGGAGACCTAGGAAAAATCTGTGGATTTTTTTTTTTAAATTTTCTTGTGGAGCTAATGTTCAGAGAAGACAGGACTTGCCTACGAGGGTTCCAATTTGCAGTGGTGTGTGTGTGTGTGTGTTTAGAATTTCAGCACCATCTCCCTAAATTGGTCTGAAAAGAACAATTTCTTGGAGTAGCGATGAATTGAAAGTACATAGATGTAAAAAGATGCTTGATAGATACAGTTGTGTTCATAGGATATGATGAAGTTAAGAATGCTCAAGATTGTAAAAATTTAAAACCATCTAACCAAAATTTAACTTAGTCAAACATTATGTTTCTCACAGAGCCAATCTAAGTACTTTTGAGGTGCTTGTAAGGAAGAGATGGAGATATAATCTTTTCCATTATTTCCCTGCAACTATATTGGTTGGAGAATTGTTCCTTCTTATAGAGAGGTAGTATTGATTTACAGCCCTTGATAGAGCTGTCTTCCATGAAACACTAAAAGTTGGCTTAGAAGATAGAATACAATGGTGATCCGTGATGGAAATTAAAAACCAGAATTTAAATGCCTTAACCATAATTTAGTAAACTTTTGCAATGACTGAATTAATGACTTACAAACCATTATTTCAGATTGCAGTTCTCCGTGCTTATATGCAAAGGTTCATTGATTTCAGTGGAATAATGAAATATAGGACAATGCAAGAACATTTTACATATCTAAAAACAACATTCATCCTTTCTAAACCATCCAGCTTATCCTAGGCCTTATTTTAAGGGCCTTGAGCATCTTGACACAAAAGGTTACTCTTTTACTTACAACTAAAGTATGACTTATCAATGGTCAAGTTAAATTTGAAAAGTAATCTTGTGTTATATTAATACACATGTCAAGTCATTTGGGAATCAATGATGACCATTTTGATTATTAGCTGAGAAAAGACAGAGAATGTCAGCATATTGATACATTAAATCAGGCATGCCCAACCCCTTATGGAGCCCCATAAGATTGTAAACTTTTAACATTATTATGTGATTTATATACATTAACTTATTATATATTTTATATAATATGAGCTGTGGTGGCGCAGTGGTTAGAATGCAGTATTGCTGGCTACTTCTGCTGACTGCTGGGTGATTGGAGTTCGACAGTTCGATTCTCACCGGCTCAAGGTTGACTCAGCCTTCCATCCTTCTGAGATCGGTAAATTGAGGACCCAGATTGTTGGGGGCAATAGGCTGACTCTGTAAACCGCTTAGAGAGGGCTGTAAAGCATTGTGAAGCAGTGTATAAGTCTAAGTGCTATTGCTATTGCTATATGTGGCCCAATTCTTCTTCACTCAAAGCATCCCAGGCAAGCCAAAAAGTTATACCCTCATGCATTAAAGCTTGTAATCTTTTAATGCTGCCCTAAAGTGGGCAAATTCTATACTGTAGTTTGTAGGAGGACAAAGTGCCAGCTGGAATGAATACATCTGATTTTGTTCATTTGTTAAAAAAAAAATACCTTCAAACTCCAACAGAATTGTTTCTAGGATTTTGATCAAATGGAAAACAGAATTTCCAATTCATATGGAAGGAAGCTTCAAGCTCAATGACTCCCACCAGAATTTTGCAAATTTTTCTGAGCTTCTCCAGAGCAGTGTGGTGACCTAGAGGTGGATCTCTCGCCTCACAATCAGGAGACTGAGTTCAATCCTAGGTAGCAGCAGATATTTCTCTCTCTGAACACAATGAGTAATTGTCATTGCAAACTCTGTGTAGGCATCAGGAAGTGCATCCAGCCAGTAAATGCTCAGCTCCAATCAGTTGCCCCGACCCTATTTGCAGGGTCATCAAAAGAAAAAAAAATATCTAAGTTTCTCTAAAAATGGACTGCTCTTTTTCTTTCACTTCCATAAAGAGAAACTCTGGGCAATCATTTTGTTTTATTACCAGAAGACAGGGTTCACTTTCATTCAAAGTGAGTATCTTAATTGCTCATGCATAGATTCATCTACGGGGAACAATTGTTCTTTGTCTTGTTTCATTTCAAAAATGTGCTAAAATACTGCATAATGCAACTCCTGGTGGCATTTGTATGTGTCTTTGGAAGCAGCATTAACCACCACAGCAGTCATTTTAAAAATGTTAAATTTAAAACTGAGATGCCAAAAGTTACACAAACTACTATGAGGTTTATTCCTGAGATTTATTAGGGTATAAAGCAAAATATAGTGTACACTCCCCCACACCTCATTCCCAAACAGCCACAGTTACATAGTTCATTTTACCCCAACCAGAAGCCATATACTTATTACATGAGAAGAAACAGGGGTTTCCAATAGAGAGCTCTCATAAACCAGTGAAATTCCATATCACAGGACTTCTTGAAAAAGTTGGGTTAGAAGTGGCACAACCTAGTTTATAGTCCCGGGCGCAGTTGTCTTCCTTATCAACCAATGAGCTTTTGAAAGTACATTTCTTTCCCTGCAGTGATACATAAAAATGTTAGTGCAAGATCAATCTATCTTAAATAAACAGAGTTTCCCCCCTGGCTCCATCAAACTATTTTATAGGTTTACATAAAATTCTCCTATGGCATCATGACATTTGGAGAGCTTGGTTATCTTCAAAGACAGCTTCAGTATATCGCAGTTGATTTACCTGCCCCTGTTCTCCAAGCAATAAAAGAATTTAACTTTATTGAAGTTTGATTTAGATGGATGGATTTTTAAACAAAAATAATTATAGAGTTTCTTGTAATAATATTCTGTGGAAGATATTACAGAAGCTTCCGATAATAAGGATGTGAATTCTTTCCATTCATTTAAAATTTAAATATTTTGTCTTATTCATCCTGGCAGTATTAACAATTTTATTTAAAAAAAATAAAATTTGCAAAGTTTTTCTAAATGAGTATAACTTTATGCTTGGTATCATCTTTGGTACATATTTGTACTGTATGTGGAGATATAATCTTTTAGGGACATGTATTTAAATATTGATGCATTTATAGACATCTCTATATGTGTTCCTATGCTGTATGTATGTTGACTTGTTGTTTATGGATTGTTTCCCAGAGTACTATTTGCATACTGTATGTATAGAAAGATGCAGATGTAAATATTCTTGAGTATTGGAAGGTTCTGCTGCCTGTTTGATACAGAGAAGACTTCATGTCTCAACTTTTATACAGTATAGACAACATCATGTTGCATTTCCATGGCATATACTTTTGTCTGCATGTATTGGAATCATTTCTGTGTCTGTGTGGACTAAAGGTCCAATTCTTTACCACCCAGATATTGAGATAGCAAAGATAAATAATTACAGATTTTTACTGTACTATGGATAAATCAGAATAAAAAGTTGGTTAATCTGGTCAATATATTGGACAGTTAGAGTTCCTTGGAAATTCAATTGGACAAAATAAAATTCTACATTATTGAACTATAAGGAACATGTGCATGTATCCTAGTTGTATGTCCAGATGGAATTCTATCACAAATAAAAGATGGCCCACACACATGTCACAATGAATGCCAAATTATAGTTCCTTGTGGGTAAATCTGAGAAAATGAGGGAGGGAGGGAGGGAGGGAGGGAGGGAGGGAAGGAAGGAAGGAAGGAAGGAAGGAAGGAAGGAAGGAAGGAAGGAAGGAAGGAAGGAAGTCTAAATGAGATAAGCAAGCACAAGAAATACATCAATGTTGGATTGAAGCACAGTAAACTTTGATGGAAATTCCACTGGGTCTTCATCAGGACAGCTAACACTCAATATTTTCTCTCTGGACCAGAGAGACAATTTTCACTTTTTAAATGAAAAGTGAATTTCATATTAAATGTCAGTATTGCTTTACCAGATGATATGGGTTAGAGGTGGGCATGAAATGAAAACCACACCTTGTTTTGGGTACATCGTGTCTTAGGATTTGGGCAGACATGTTCCAACCAGGCTTGGATTTCCAGCTGAAATCTGGAACCTCTAGTTCCAAATTTTGGATAAATTCTGGATAGCCTTGTGAAGCCATTCTAGCCTGATGTCTTAACCACTACACCAAACTCTCATATATTTTTTTGCCATGTTTCAATTCAAATGTGGCCCAGCACTTTTCTTTTCCTTACTGTTGCTGCCGCCATGCTTGAATTCAAGCTGAGTATAACCTATCTTCCCCACCTATCTCTCCCTTTCCCTTCCTGCAATCATTTTTCTTTATTGGCACTATTCTGTGCATATTTTGTTTTCTCCGTGTTTATCTTTTTCTCTCTATGCACAAAGCATTTTGTCCATCTTTCCCTAGAACAGATAATATAGAATTGCAATAAAGATATCATTTAATATCTATTACTGTCAGAAGGCTGAATAAGGAAGACCATCCCATGTTATAAATATCTTACTGAGGTTATTAAAGCTGGCATGCCTTTAAGATGCTATCTTATTCTGGTTAGTATAGCCGCTCCATCTTAAGAATTAAGATAAGGCACAATTCATAATTTCGCATAGTGTTTATAGTGTGTGAATTATGTTCGTTGTTTGCTTAATATACTACTGAAATTATTGACAAGCATTATTTCGGATTAATTCTTTCACGGACTAAATGAGATCCCAATGACTTGATGTAGATGTAGCAATTGCAGCAGTGCGGCAAGTATTGTGTGCATTTAGTGTGAAATGGTTGGGCTGTATTTATTATAGGTGTGGATGTGCTTTAGTCTAATCTGTTTGCAAGGGTGATCCTCAGGCCTAAAGAAGAAGCAGACAATCTGCTGCCCTCATGAAATGTACAGTCCTAGAATAGTTAGTTAGAAATTGTTGGATTTATTTAATGGAGGTTGCTGCAGTTAAGGGGCACTGGCCTCTTATACCCACTAATCCCCCAAAATTGGGCCACTGTCTTCACCATAGGGGATAATCTGTATTGTGGATGATTCCTAGGATAAGCCCAGGAACAGCGTGGAACAATCCATTCAGAGTCCAGTTCTTTATTTGCTTAAGTACAATAGACAGAATCTTGCTACTACTACTCTCACCCTAAAGCAGGGGTCCTCAACTTTGGCAACTTTAAGACTTGTGGACTTCAACTCTCAGAATTCCTCAGCCAGCAAAGCTGGCTGAGGAATTCTGGGAGTTGAAATCCACAAGTCTTAAAGTTGCCAAGGTTGAGGACCCCTGCCCTAAAGGATATACCATGGGAGGTTCTAGGGTGAGGCTATCCTTCCTTCCTTCCCCTGTCTCTTATCCAGCTCTGTGCTGTCTTGCCTCTTGTCTTCCCCACCCCCTTTCTGGAATGTTCTCCCTCTTTCCTGCGAAACTGCTCCTTCACTGTAGTCCATTACACCAACCTCCGTCCATAGACACAATCTCTCACAGATTGCCCTAGGCTGAAATGGAAAGGTATACTATAAATACATGATGATAATATAATAATTATTTCAATTAGTGAAATAATTGATTTATAACACATCACTGAAGGATTCCAGAATGTGGGTTGAACTCTGGCATTTGTTTATTACATATGCTAGATTCTTTTCCTCATTTGGAAGACTTTATTTCTTATACAGCCAATAAAATGCAAAGACTGTTGGATATTGTTGGCCAAGGCATACTAATAATATATTGTCAAATTACATATTTTAGGTTATGGTGGCGGAAGCTCTAAACATTTCCAGAGAAACTTATTTTGCAATATTAATGGATCGAGCTTGCAATGGACCTGTTCTTGTTGGGAGCCCACAAGGTGGGGTTGATATAGAAGAAGTAGCGGCTAAAACTCCAGAACTTATTTTCAAGGTATATTTTAGCTTAAAATTGTTCGTGTTCAAGCAAACTGCACTGCTATATTCTCTTTGAATAAATAATCAAATATGGGTTGATGTGACTATATATAGAAGATTTAACATATCTGTAAAGCATTCATCAGATGTTCCAGATGTTCTTTATGCATTTATATAGAATGCATATAAAACATCCAGAAGGGAATTAATGATTTTAAATATTTGATTTTAGTGTTTGTAAGCAGTCCAAAGTCCTCTCTAGATGAGATGGGCAGCACACAAATCTAATGAATAAAACGGGTTCCCAACCTAGGGTGCTCGCACCCCCTGGCGATGCGAGACGATATTCCAGGGGGTGCAAAAACTTGGGTTTTCAAAGTTATAGTGTATATGCATAATTCGTTGCCGTTATTTTGAACTTTTGTAAGGGGTGCGAGAATATATCAGAAGCGTTTTAGAGGTGCAGAGTATAGAAAAGGTTGGGAGCCGCTGGAATAAAATAATAAATACATTCATATAGATTTTGGTACATATTTAACCTGAACAGGATGTGATCATCAGTAACTGCTGTATATCATGACATTATCACACAAATTATGTGAATTACGTATAGTAGTCCTCAACTTATAACAGTTCATTTAGTAACTGTTTGAGGTTACAATGGCACTGAAAAAAAGTGATTTATGACCATTTTTCACATTTACAACCTCATGGTCACGTGATCAAAATTCAGACATTTGGCAACTGACTCATATTTATGATGTTTGCAGTGTCCCGGGGTCATGTGATCAGCTTCTGCGACCTTCAGACAAGCAAAGTCAATGGGGAAGCCAGATTCACTTAACAACCGTGTTACTAACTTAACAACTGTAGTGATTCACTTAACAGTGGCCAGAAAGGTCATAAAATGGATCAGAATTCACTTAACAACTGTCTTGTTTAGCAACAAAAAATTTGGAGCTGAATTAAAGGACTATCTGTACTTCCAAATACATGGTTTACATTATTTGAACAATGGTGTAATCATTTTCCTATGCTAGAGCTTGCACAGACGTTCCCATGCTCTGTGAATCTATTCACCTTTATCTCCCATTAAAAATTCTTACTTTGCAGAAATCTTGCTACTGCTTACAGCAGGGTTTCCCAAACTGTGAGTTGTACCTCCCTAGGGGAGGTGCAGACAAAGTCCAGAGGAGGTGTGAAAAGCCTTTTAGTTATGTTGTTAGAATAATCCATGTTTCCTAAAGATTCATTGCATTGTTTTCAGTGATCGCTTGGTGTTTTTAGGGGAAGTATGAACAATAATATTGTACTGGAGGGAGGTGTGGTGGCAACCCAACTTATGGAATAGCAGATCTATAAAAAAAAGAGGTCCACATATTTATTCACGCTCTACATTTATAGCGGAATGGAACGTGAGCATTTTCAAAGTGTTATTTTACTACATGTAGATAGAACATACCTGAATATAGTACAAAGTGGGACATAACTTTGGAAGAGTTTATAACAAATGTAAATGACTTCTGCTAATGAGTAAATTCTGCAAGCTAATAAATACTAACTTGGTTAGTTTATTCTTTTTTTGCAGTACATGCCTGTTGAAGAAAAGTCTAATTGTATATCATGGGAATTATAACCAGATAAATAGGTTTAAACTTGTAGCCTCAAAAAGCACTCTTTAAAATATGGGAGCCAGTTTGTAAAGTCAGGGAGTGCAGCTTATCACAGACTGTAACACTATAAAGGAAATATAGATTATTTAAATTCATCTCCATAAAGGTATCTGTGATGTCAAGGGCCTTAATTTCTTTGTTTAGTGCTGTAGTCTGATTCAAATACCATACAATAGCAAAAGCATCTGATTGTATTGATTTATAAGTTGCTCGCTATTCACTCAGCGGATAAACATATTTTTCAAATTGGTTACTCAAAATTCCTTTTCTTTTCACACGACAGTCTGCTATTATTTCAAATTATAGGAGTGGGGAATGGCTACTATATGAAAGAATGCTTAATGAGAGAGTAACAAAGCTTAACATGGAACTAGTCTATAATTTGGTGAGCACATAACGTTCTTTAAACAGCAGCAACAACAATAACAATAATAATGCATATTTGAACTGAACCACAAAGAAGAATATTGTTGGGCCTTAACAAACATTGCTTTGGTTCCTTGTCTAAATTGGTCATAAAAATTAGCAGAATATGTATTCATCAATGCCATCTGTACAGTAATTAAAAGTGAAAACTGGTGTCAGATTGCCTTGTCAGCATGCCACCCTGAAGAATTTCACGATTTTCAGAGGGACTCTTTTCATGGAGAGTGTGGTAATTATAACATACCCTGTAGCTGCATTCTTGGAATTTTGGCAACTTGCCAAATTTTAATTGCTAATTTGCAGAATATGTTAAGTATTTTTTTTTTAACCATTGAAGTTATACATTTGTTTTCCAGCTGAATATTTTTATTTGTGCCCTTTGTTGTAACAGGAAGAAATAGATATTTTTGAAGGAGTAAAAGATATTCAAGCAGTACGGCTGGCAGAAAATTTGGGATTCAAGGGGCCTTTGCAGCAACAGGTAATATTTTCGGGAATTAGCTTTTAACTATGCTGAGATGTAATAATAATAATAATAATAATGATGATGATGATGATGATGATGATGAGGAGGAGGAGGAGGAGGAGGAGGAGGAGGAGGAGGAGGAGGAAGGGACCTTGGAGGTCATCTAGTCTAACCCCCTGCTCAGGCAGGAAACCCTATACCATTTCAGACAAATGGCTGTCCAATCTCTTCTTAAAAACTTCCAGTGTTGGAGCATTCACAGCTTCTGGAGGCAGATTGTTCCACTGGTTAATTGTTCTAACTGTCAGGAAATTTCTCCTTAGTTCTGGGTTGCTTCTCTCTTTGGTTGGTTTCCATCTGTTGTTTCTTGTCCTGCCTTCAGGTGCTTTGGAGAATAGCTTGACTCCCTCTTCTTTGTGACAGCCCCTCAAATACTGGAATACTGCTATCATGTCTCCTCTATTTCTTCTCTTCATTAAACTAGACATACCCAATTCCAGCAACCGTTCCTTATATGCTTTGGCCTCCAGTCCCCTGATCATCTTTGTTGCTCTTCTCTGTACTCTTTCTAGAGTCTCAACATCTTTTTTACATCGTGGTCACCAAAACTGGATGCAGTATTCCAAGTGTGGCCTTACCAAGGCATTGTAAAGTGGTATTAACACTTCACGTGATTTTGATTCTATCCTTTTGTTGATGCAGCCTAGCACTGTGTTGGCTTTTTTGGCAGCTGTAGCACACTGCTGGCTCATATTTAAGTGGTTGTCTACTAGGACTCGGAGATCCCTTTCACAGTTGCTACTATTGAGCAAGGTACCCCCTATACTATACCTGGGCATTTGGTTTTTCTTGCCAAACTGTAGAACCTTACTTTTTTCACCATTGAATTTCATTTCATTAGATAGCATTAGATGTCAGTGAATTGTTTTGCTCAATCCAACTTTAGGATATTTCTGGTTATGTATGAATTGTATTCAGGGCGTTGATGGTCTTTGTTTCATCATAATATCTTGTTATATGATTTAAGCTTTCAGGAAAAATAAAATATATTATAAATCAGTGATAGCAACAATGGCAACTATCAATTAAACTCCAAGAATCTATTCTTGGACCTTAATTCTTTTTCTTCCTTGGTGTGGGAAATAGATTTTTCACTGTATAGTGGGAATGCTTGCTGTTTTTTTACAGACAGCTTTTTAAAGTGCCTGTTGACATTTTCAAAAGGACTTTTCCAGAACCTTGAAGTGCTTTGCAAGCATAAAATGGAACCAATTTGTTTCCATGTAAAGAAAGTAGTGAATCTAGGTAGGAATGGTGTGGTTTAGTCTGGTCTGGTTTAATACAAAAGTTCAGTTAAGAAAAGACTCCATATCACTTCCTCATCACGTGGTTCATGCTGTGGTAGAAAGCTTCAGGAGAAAGAAGATGACCACAACCCCAAATACCAGTTGGTCATCAGAATGACCTATATTGTCTAAAGTAGCACTAGCATTCAACATAATAATCAAAAGACTTCTTTACCGAGATTAGAAACGAATTGAGACAGCGACATGAACCACATGACCCAACTGAATTATTTGAAAGAATGAGCCCAGAAAACCACACTCATGGCCTGGCTGATTGGGGAAGAGAGGAGTACAAGCAAATACACCTGACTCTAACTCTTAAATATATCTTCTTATACATGCCTAAAAGCCTATCTGTCATTTTGTACAGGCATACATTAAGAAACAATAGGGATAAAACCATGTATGCTCTTACATATTTACAGAGATCTGGCCTCTATTTATTATCATAGATACTCTCAAACCAGTGTTTCTCAATCTCAACAATTTTAAGAAGTAGGGGCTTCAGTGACCAGAATTTGGAGAGTTGAAGTCTATAACTCTTAAAAGTCTTTGGAGTTGAGCAACACTAATCTAAACCTTAGCATAATGAGACCATGGATAATGTATACAAGTGAATAGATTCTTTTTGATGATTATACCTGGGGAAATTTTATGATGAAGACAAAACTGAGTCTTCATAGTGATCCACTGAATATTTCGTCAAGGGATGATTAGATAACATATACTGTAGATATATTGTATTCTATATGATGATACAGAGTTATCTATTACTGTATGATGGCACCTGATTGTCGGCTGGATGCTAAAGAAAATGTTACATTTCTTCTACTTAAGCAAATTCATGTGAAAAGTTATAGGCAGTATTAAAAACACTACTTGGCTGTTGAATGTACTGTTAATCTTTTTGCTACTCTGTACAATTAAAGTCCTGTCTAGATCAGCATCTTGTTTCCATAATGGCCAAGCAGGTACCAATGAAAATAACTGGAACTGAATGCTACATTAGTTACATTCCTAGTAATTTATGTGAGAGACACACTTGCCTCTTTTACTTGAATTAATATAAGCCCATTTTACTAGTAACCATTTACATCTTAATACTTTTACATCCTGTGAAAATTTTGATGTCCATTTAAAGCTCCTCATATGGGTAATATTATTATTGTTTGTAGTACAGCTTCTATAGTTAATTTCTTTTATCTATCCTGAATTTCTTTCCATTCATGTTCATCTAACGATACAGATGACACATGCATAAAAAACAAGCAAATTTAGATTTTCTATCTACATTTCACTGCTTTAAGATTTACTCTCAGGATATGAAACTCAATGCAAGTCACTATCTTTTTGAGTTTATTTATTTTTATTAAACACATTTATATGGCCACTCAACTCCCACAGGTTTATTTATTAAACATATTTATATGACCACCCAACTCACATTTTGCAACAAGCTTGATCTTTTTTACTGCTCTGGGATAAAAGAGTTGATAAACTGTTTTTCTACAGACATTCCCATATCATCAAAATGCCACTTTTATAAAATCTTTGAATTTTTAAAATATCACTTTTAATTAATTTCCATCCCAACTGTGCAATTAACAAATGCATAAACATTAAGATGATTAACACCCATTTGAAGTTTTAGCAGTATAATTAATGAGAGAGAATTATTATTACATCTTTTTAGCTTTTCATGTCATTATTAGCACAATACATGAACTGCTTAACAAAACAACAGCTAATACATTTCTTCCCATGTGCTATAACCTTTGCAGTGTGATTTACTGAAGCATAGAAACATAATGGCTACATCAGTGTAATCAAAGGTCTATTTAATTTGGTCTTACGATAATCATTTATATTCCCCAGTAGGTAGATACTAGAAGAATTGTGGTACTACGGTTAAAATCTAATGTCTAACAAGCTGTGGATAAATTTTCATAATGCTTGATAGCCTTTTAGTTGTCTCTTTGGTGAGGATGGTTATTTAACAATCTTCTAAAATAATGCACGATTATTGAATTTCTTTTCAAGCATCAGTACGGAGATATGTACTTTAAGTTTCCTTAATGGTAACTATGTCAGATTCAAATGCATAGCACTAGGTTTTATTTTACTTGTTAAGCGGAATTGCTAATTCAGATTAAATGCATTCCGAAAAAAAGTTGACAGCTGAACTCTGCACATTTGTACTTGCATAAAATTGCTCATACCAGTGGGAATAATAAATCCCACTGGAATATGACTTAAATTGTGGAATAATAATAACGTACTGATCTCAGCAACTATTCCTGGCCCTGCCTACTGCTGATCTTGCCTCTTAGTCCTCTTTTTTTTTAAAGCTCAGTGCTCTAAACAGCTACCATTTTCATCACCCAAGTAGCCAAGTATAGGTGTCATTTTAATTTCCAACAATGGCCTGAAGTAGCATTGTTTTGGATTGTCATAGAAAATCAAAATGAGAAACTTCAGATATCCATTAAAGTGTCTGCTGTTGGCTTACCACTGCTTTCAAATAAGCAGTCTGGACTGACTATCAGCTGAAAGGTTCTCTAGTTAAAGAATCCACTCAACATAGTCTTGCACTAAATAGAAACTATGTCTTAGAGAGGCAGGTTAATCTTTTGTGTTTTGTTTTGTTTTGTTTAAAATGGAACAGTCTTAAAGCAGAGGTCCTCAATCTCCTTTGAATCAAAGCCCTTCCTTCCTTCCTTTCTTTCTTTCTTTCTTTCTTTCTTTCTTTCTTTCTTTTTTCTTTTTTTCTTTCTTTCTTCTTATGCTCTCCCCACCATAAAGAGGAAGACAAAACTAAATTTAAATGTCTATTTTTAAAATAATTATTAGAATATTATTTTAAATATCCTCCCTTTATCACATCAGCAAGTATAAAGGTTGGTGGAAAGTTTTGGAGAGACTGTAGAGCAGGGGTGTCAAACTGCCGGCCCGTGGGCCGGATGCGTCATCCGGAAGCCACGCCCACCCCATTGTCGGCAATGGCAAAATAGTCCCGATACGTCTCGCGACGTCACGTGATGTTGCGAGTTTGACATGTCTGCTGTAGAGGGTCCACTCAAACTTTAGAAAGGAAGGGTACTGGTTCTGCCCCTCCTGTGGTGCAAACAAACTTGTGTGCAAAAAGAAGTATATATTTTCTTTCAGGCTTCTTCTGAAATTGGTAAGAGTATTTCATATTACGAATCCTGGGAACCTATTGGTTAATGTCCATGACATCACTGGTGACTAGTAAACCAGTGATGTATTTAGCCTCATTGTTTTGGGTGAAAGTAACTCAGTTGTACATTCTTCCTCTCTGGGCCTATCACTTTCCATCAGATTAATCTTACATCACAAAGTTGCTTTAAAAGTTAAATAGGAAAAGGAAGAATCATCAATACACTTTTGGGAGTCAGGAGAAGAAATAAAGGAATTGCTTTTAACAACAAGGAAAAATAAATCACCAATTCACAAGAAGTGTATTAGACTTTCTTCTTCACATGAAGTATCCTAAACGTCCCCCCAAAAAAGTTGATGCAATATTGGAGTGATTTATGGTGTGTGCTGTGGTGGGGGCACAATTCTGATGTTGGGGGATGATTGGCCATCTCTGCTTTATGTATTAAATATTTGTTACTTTCCTTGTTAGCTTATTTGTGGAACATTTTT